TATGCCATACAACTTGCCGAAATTCGCTAGTTCCAGTCCAGTTTACCAGTTTACTAGTTTACTTCTGGACCAAAGTCGTCATTGTTAACTAACGTAGTTCCAAGGTATTTGAAATGATCCATCTCTCCATCGTAATATCATTCAATAATATCCCTGGGCCCCCGTGGCGGTCCGTTCCTTCATAATTTTCGTTTTTTTGGCGTTCACTTGTAACCCAGCCCTACAGCGGTATTGCGCACGCTTTTTGTGAATGCCAGTAGACCACTTCCGTAGTCGCTCAGCAGTGCAACGTTATCAGCATACTTAAGGTCTGTTAAGAATATCACAGGGTATATTGAGCTGCATCGTTGATTAACGGTGAATCCCTCGTTTTTGTTCGGGAGGGCGCACTTTCACGTAACATTGTCCGCCATGATGCTGAATATCAAATGAGAGGCATCTTGTTTTGATGAACTCCCCTGGTAATGTTGAAGCCGTTTTGGAGTGATATATCAATTCCTTCGTACGGTTATTCCATCAGGCTTACTATCGCTTATGGAATTTCATAGTGACGAATAACTCGCCACATTATTTACGGATAAATGCCTGCAGATCGAGGTATATTCGATAGTGTTTCAACATGTATCTGTTCGACCCAATAAGTCTTGCTGTTTTGCACCCATGCACTTCAGGTGCCAAAATACCATGGATCCACTAAGGTACTAGTAGCAAGGTAACTGTGCGACTATGACTTGTGAATCCAGAAAGGTGCCAGGAGATATCTGTTTCGTTGGATTTCTGTTTTTATGAGTTTTAGTGGTCATTAGCTTAGGTTAGCATTGTACCTTTGTTAAGCAATTATATACCCAGGTATATACGAGACGGATTCTCAGCGCGTGACAGTTCAGTGGAAGAATCACTCTGCTGAGTTAAACTTACCTGGTTATAGATTGCATTTGGCGGAAGTCGGTGCGACTTTAAGACTAAAAAAATAGAAAAACTAAGACTAGAAACTTTAAGACTAGAAATAGAAAAATCATCCTTCTATTTGTGCTGGCTAAGGTATTCCCGCAGATCATCATTTGAAATTTAAATGAGTTCATTAGTTATTCGTTGTAAACAAATCAAATATGCCTATTTAACGGATATTTTTTTAATGCTGGAACAGATTATCTGCAGCATAAGCGCTTCTAAATGCTCTAGAGCAAAATGTTTTGGCCATTAAGTCTGCCTCAGTTCGTTTCACAGGAACAGACCATGTATTGTACGATTAATTACTATGGAATTCTATGGGCAGAATAGTATCGAATTTCCGTATGAAGGAACATCGTGTGTTGTAAGGACGGAAGGATCAGCGTTCAGGTTCCAGTGGTTCTACATCACCTGTGGAGTTCTCAAGGCGACGGTTTCTTTCCTTTTTATTCTACGAGGATTGTGTTTTGCGGGAGTGTTGCTCCAAATAACAGCGAATGACTGATCGTAAGTAGACGATGCCGCTAACAGCAGTCAGAAGGCGGTATTTCTGACAAATGTGTGCAAGCCACGCTGTGCTTTTGAACGATTCCACGGGTAGCATATTTGCACTCGCCGAAAGCGCATGGACCACGGTTGTGCAAGTAAAACTGCAGGTCTATGCCCAGTAGACGAAAATTAACTGGAGATGCTATGGAATGGTATTGCGTTAGAAAACTGGTCATTTTACGTGCCTCAGAACAACTTTGGCCCGTAGAGGCGACGTTGGTCCTCAATTGAATCGGCGTAAAAGAACGGTATTGCCGAATTTCATCTAGATGTATCAGATATGTTAAAAATTAGACAAAGAACTTATGTGAATATTATCGCCTTGATAGGCGTTCTTGTACGATGTGAAAATCTCGTCATGCTCGCCTAAGTAGCTTCCAACAACATTGTCTACAATGCATCGTGTAAGCGCGATGAAGCCATCATATCGCAATCACAGACGATCAGACTGAGACGACCAACGGCCTGAGGAAACTGACTCAGAGACCGGTGCGTTCCTTGATTTGATAAAATGGCCCAGAATGAGAAAATGATTTACGACCCTTTCTCGCGTGAGAACCCTGTACTAAACACAGCATGCTTATGGGGGCAGGGCAAATTCTGGAAGCATGTCTTTAAGTCATCCCTGTCTCTAACAAGGAATATGACCTTTACTACGTAAGTGAACGTTGTTTAATATTAGTCAAAATTATCTTTCTGACAGCTAGATACAGATCTAGATTGTCCTGTTGTTCTTGCTCTGTTAGCCTTAGATTAGGATAATGAAAGCAGCAGTAAGAAAGTGAAGCCGGCATTGTTCGCTAGTTCTTAAAATATGTTTATGTTCATCTTTTGCATTGCTACTCACATTGTGCTCTATTTCAGTGAAGGGGACAGCAGAGAAACCTTTACTCCGGCCGTATGCTTCGACAGCAATTTTGGTTCAGGCAATGCTGTGGCTGTTAAAACCAAAGATTCTGCGAGCCCTCTGCACGAAACGCCAATGCCAAAGTTCAAACGGCCAGACTTTTTGAGGTAAGAATAGGCGGCGGCGACTTTAACGTCTTTTGGAGCGTGACAGGGTTATCACTGCTGCTGTGCGTGAATTGGTGAGAGTCGTTGTGCGTTCCTCACAGATGAACGTTTGAGCCGTTTTGAAGTGTTTCTGAGAAAGATTTTTCAGCTTTGGCTAGGAGATTTGACAACATAATCAGTTTTGCATATCGCTTACAGTTTTAAGATTTTTTGAACATTGAAACAATAAATGGAAAATGTGATATGGCCATAATTGACTGATCTTTCGTCTGATTTGCAGATTTGAGCATAAAAATATAACTTTTCTAAATTTGTATATTGCTGTACGTGATGTATAATAGTTCAGTCCAGAAAAATAAACAACCTTTTATAATAATAGATTAAGAGCGAAACATTGAAAGCTTGGAGAAATATTTTTAATAAATGAAATATTAAGCACAAAACCAGAGAAGCAACATCTCTATAAGTTTGAAAGCTTCAGCGCTTATGAAATATTTTTTCGGTCTTTTTACCTTCTCTTTCTGAACCTGTGGCGTGAAATTCAGGTCAGTTCCATGTTGTAAAGATGGTAATATGACATATAGTTCAAATCATAGCTTGGATACCGTTCCTGAAGCATCGTTTATGATGAATTGGCTATTGTTCCGGCCAGGAGGACGATGGTCGTGGCGTTCAGAGGGTACGAAATTGTGGCCTGCTAAGTGGAAGAAAAGAATGTAGAGTTTGCAGTCGTTGGAATGTTTGTCTCCATTACGAATTAATGATGGGTACCATTTTTCACCCTCTTCTTTTCATGCAGCTTATAGTGCGGCACTAGTTTCTGTTTGTATACCATCATCTATAAATACCTTCTTCTAAAGGCAGTATATACATGTACGTGGCAAGTATGGCATGTGGGCTCTTGTTTTTGTTTCCCACAACTTGTTACCTGTTGCTTTACCTTAGAACGAGGAAGGTCGAGTGACCTGACCGAGGCTCGAATCCAGGGCCTCTCTTAAGCTCGACACCCGACTGATAAGTGGTCTTCGGATTTAAGTCACTTCCTCGACATTTGAAAGTAATAGGGTGGTACATTACACTGTAAAATCTGATTTGCATAAATTATACACCGTATGAAGTTAGAAATGGTTTTTCCGTGCTGCTAATAGTTATTTACTTTGTCCATTGTTGGATCACTTTACAAGGCAATAGCAGCGTAATGGATTCTTGTTTGTAAAAGCCATTGCTTAGTTATTCACGCAGTTACCTTGTTTTCTAGGCCAAAAACCGGTAACGTCAGCGTCGATGTGTTTGACGCTGTCAACGCGCGTCTCGCGGCGGTCATCAATGACCAGAAGGGCACCAAAGATAAAGCTCAGGACCAACGCAACGGGCTGCGCAAGGTGCAGAGTGTACAGAAGGATCTGTTCCGCAATCTCAAGGTAGAGACGTCGTTGGAGAACGGCGAGTCCAACTCGGAGCTGAACGTTGAGTTCCACCTGTCGCTGCCGATGCAGAAAAGGGAGAAGGAAACAATGACGGAGGCGGTTTTCCACAACAAGGAGTCTTCTCCGGTCGACGGTACTGAGGGTGTGCCAGGTGGCGGCGGTGGGAGCAACAGCGGCAAGCCGTTGACCCCAAAGGCGCTTCGTATGCTAACGTAAGTACAACCCGACATTGTACGTAAGCCTGTTGTACCGATGAAAAATTAATTGAATCGAACAGGTCAAAAGTCTAAAAAGTCGTTGCTTAGAAAAGATTGAGACTGATTAGGGCGTGCATTCCTGTAGTACTGGAGTAAGCATAAAACACGGTTTAATCATATACAACACAGACACTTTCTTCACTCGGACGATTGACCAGAACAGATATTTCGATGCGTGTTTCACGAATATTCTTGAAATGGAAAAGGTATCTTTCTGAGTCACAACGTACCACCTGCTGCAAAAGACAGGAGGAGCTGTAGAA